CTCAGGTTTGTTTTGTTTTTTTAAAGAAAATTACTATTTTTAAGCAGACATTTGTTCTCTTGATTTTGCTTTAACAACACACATCTGCACAGACAAAGTTAGCTCCAGTTTCTGCTGATAAAATCCTGGAACTGAGGCTTGGAGGACTGTACCCAGTTTTTCTGTCATACATGAAGAACGAAAAGCAGAAGGAAAATACTCATTTCCTTATCGTGCACTTTGGGTTTAGTTTTAGACATTGCAAATCAAATAAAAGCTGTTGTTTGTTTCAAAACACAACTGCATGCGAGCTGCCTCCTCTTACATCACTGCTCCAACAAAGTAATCCTTCCAAAAAAGAAAAAGCACAAAACTGAAATCAGAACCTTATACAAAAGGCAATTTGTATATCCAAATTATAATATACAATTATAATATACAAATACAATTCAGAACATGTATTTGAAGATGAAGATTTCATAACATCACATTTGATCTGATAGAGGTTTTAGTAGATACTGCGCTCAGTAGCACATCCAAAAAACTGGACTAATGAAAAAACCAACAAAACAACACTTCAAGCTCCAAGAAGAGACGTGAAGGACTAAAAGTGGGAGAACTGTTCAAAGCAAAATATGAAACATGGCTTCTAGAAGGGGTGAATGAATATAGGTCAAAAAAAAGAAGGAGAGGACTGAAGAGCCAGGGCCACCAACTCAGACTGACCAGGAACAAAGTTTGTACATTGCCTAGAAAACTGCATGTACAGAAAGGAGAACAGAGGCCATTTAAGATCTCAAAAGAGAGAGCCCACAAGAAGAGAGTTAAGAAAAGAAGACAGCAGCAAGATCTGAGATTCTCTGCTGAGCTCTAAGACAGCAGCACTTCTGCTTGTTCTTTTATTGCTCTTGCTCAGAGCAACCTCTTAGCTTTAGAGAACAGTGTCTGAAAGCTAATTGCAAGACTGCAACCAGAGGTGAGTGTAAAATTAGCAGCTGTTCCACGAGTAATCGAAGGGCAACTATTATTCCATGGATTCAAAAGCAGAAGCAAGCTACTTGTTATTTTATTATAATGTCATTTCCTAAAAACTAAAGCATGCAACTTTTCTAATACCAAACTACTGCACAAATTGAGCAATGACTTTCTTCAGTAACTCTAATAATAATTAAAAAAACATTATTGAAAAAAAGCCAGCAGAGAAAAGCTGTATTCATTTCCTTTGAAAAAAAGAAAACATTCAAGGAGGATAAGACCTTTCTGTAAATTTACAAAAAATAACTCAATTCCAAAAGGAATCTAGGAAAACAGAAAAGAATATTTTGGAGCCCTTCTTTCTGCCCTTGAAAAAGAGCAACTACAAAAGCATTCATTTGAGTGTGAGAAATAACACAGAACTCTTAACAGGTAACCATCACCATCACCAGCTGTGTTCAAAGATGGCACAGAGCCCCTGCCATTCACATTACCTTATTATCTATATTATTATAAAGAGCACCTCGGCACGTCCACTATAAAACCTAAGCTTGGAGTACTGCACATGAAATAACTCTTCGTGTTCCTTTCCACTAATATTTCTGCCTCCCTCTTTCAGGGAGGAATGCAGTCACCATTGTGGCCGTTGGTAGTCTTACCTGCCTTGACACGATACAGCATCGTCAGTGTGTCGTCACTGGTGAGAGCAGTAACATGTAGGTTATTTACTGTTGGAACTTGATCAGCGAGAGCTGTCAGTTCATGAAAGTGTGTAGCAAACATACAGAAAGCACAAATTTTGCTCGCAATGTATTCTGAAATAGCCCACGCCAAGCCAAAGCCATCGTAGGTCGAAGTTCCTCTTCCCAGCTCATCAATAATTATCAAAGAGTTTTCAGATGCTGTCCTAAAACAGAAAAGAATTAAGTTTGGGCAAAGCATAAACTCTGGATACTGGATTACCACAAATCATACTGTGGAGCACAACATCAGGCACAAGACAACAACAGTTTACATGAACATCATATGAATAAAGTACACATAGTGTCACAAATTATTCCTAGTTAGAGCCTCTTTGGCCCACCTAGACTTTGGCCTCCTGGTAGCAGCTGTGTCAGTAGGCTACTTCAAGAACTTGCAGCCCTACGGTAAAGGACTTGAGGTCTCAGATCCTAAAAGAAAATCTTAAGATGCTAAAAGAAAATGCTAAGATGTAACATTCTCAGAACGCATCCTTTCCAATCAACACCAACCAAATGAAAGAAGTGCAGGACTTACCTAAGGATGGAAGCAGTTTCCAACATTTCAGCCATGAAAGTAGACACACCTTTCAGCTGACTGTCTCCAGCTCCTACACGAGCCAGGATACAATCCACAATGGTTATTTCTGCAGAGTCGCAGGGTACAAAGCACCCAATTTGGGCCATAAGAACAATGACTCCTGTCTGTCGGATGTACGTTGACTTTCCACCCATGTTAGGGCCTACAGAAGAAATTTTGCAAAGGAATTTAAAACCAGTATCTTTTACCATTCAACACTCCTTTTAAAGGAAAGCAGGCTGTTGAAAAAAACAAAAACAAAAACCAACACATAAACTTACTCTTTTGTTGGGAGACAAAAGACTTGTCTAACAGGTGCAGCTAGGAGGGCTACTACTACTAAGGGTTACTGTTTTGACAGGCATTCCTTTCTTTTCTTTCTTTTTTTTTTTAAGAGAAGGGAAGAATGAAAGGTTTCATAAGTTCTGTGAGTTTTCAGAAGTGTAAGCAGTCATCTAAAATGCACGTCCATACTTAAAACTAACAAGCTTTCATTGTAAAGTCACCAGTATTGCTGCTTAAGAACAAAAATAATTTGCTTTTACTTCAAACAACAAACACTACTTGTCTGCAAAAATGAAGCAGTTTACTTAACAGACTGGGTTCAAGCTTAAATTACAATCTAAAGGGATTCTGAATCATCAAAAACATACATTTTGCAATTAGAACTTAACTGAAGCACAAATGAAATAAAAAGTGCTTTCCAAACAAACTGATAATTAAAACCAATTTTACGCTTTTGCAACCAGAAAAACAAGAGTGCTGCCATGCATTTATTCAGATTCTTAGTTTTTCTTTTTGATCGTTTTAGAAGTGTTCATTAATCATTCTCTAATTTCAGATCTTTGCTACTCAGAATGTGTTAAGCATATCTGAATGGAAATTAAAATTCAATTAAATGTATAAACACTAAAAAGGTTTTCCTGTAGAGTAAAATTCTCTTAATTTCACCAGAGATTAGGAGGAGAAAAAAAAAAGTATGGTCATTAAAACATGCTTGGCATTTTAAATTGATGAGCACGGAACAAAGAAAACATTATCAAAGTGGGTGTTCAAAATCTTGCCTACAGCAGATGCCTACATGATGACTACAGTACAACTGATGCCTCATGGAATTTTCCAATTCACTTCAGTAGGGTTAGGCTCTCCAGCTCCTGAGGCTGTCTGGCTTGCGAAGGGACAGTCAGTAAAACAAAGAATACATGTAGTGAGGATGAGTTTTCTTACTTCCTGATATCCCAGCAGCCTCCCTCTTCTTCCCAAATAACTATTTCTAAATTAGTGACCAACTTCTCAAATAGTGCACACCGTAATGACAGTCGTAACAACTCACTCCATGACTGGTAGTTTGGAAGATATCTTTATGTCCGTAAGCAGGAGGAATAGGACAAGAACTTTGTAGACAGATACACACATATATGTATATACATATATAAGCAATGCTCACTCTTTATTATGTAGAATCATTGAATCTGCCAAACTGAAGGGACCCGTAAGGATCATCAGCACCAACTCTTTGCTCCATACAGCACTGCCCAAATATCAGACCATAGAACACATTCTTCCCAGTTAAATCTCAGCCCATGTAGAGACACATGAATAAGCTGCTCACCGCTCCCACTTTCTTGATTACAGCAATTATTCTAACATACCTTTCCCCCCCTCCCTTCCCCTTTGTTTCAAAAGGCATCATTATTGGATATACTTGAAACATTTAAAACCTAAGTATTAAGCAAAAAAAAGTAACATTTACCAGTAATAATGTGGAACATCTGCTTGCCCTTCTCAAATGTAACATCATTGGGGATGAAGGCCACCTCATCTTGCACTTCGATGCAAGGGTGCCTGGCACCTTTCAGCACAATCCTTCCTTGTCCCTTTTCCAGAATGACAGGACGAACATACGGCACTGGGGCTGCATTTGACACGTGAGCAAAACTGACAATTGCATCTAACTGAGCTATTACATCATTCATGGTCTGGATTGGCTCTGCATAACCTGTTTTTGATTACAGAGAGACAAATTCAACACAGTTAGAAATGTGAAAGAGGTGACGGACAGGGAGCTATAGAGGTGAAACATCTCACATCTGCAATAGGAATGCGTATATAGGAAGAGATGAGTATTGACCTGCAGAAAGAATCCTATCTGTAGGAAATGCATTCACTATTCCAACATTATTTCTTGAACTTGGCTAGGTATAGATCATTCAGAGGACTTCCAGTCACTTTCATTCAAGAATTACAAATCAATCCAGTCTTTTTAATTAGTCTGTCTTCACAGGAGGAAAAATGCGTTTTTTTCCCAAGACTTATACACTTGCAAGTCTGTTACTGCACATCACAAACCTTAAGCAGCAGCAAAATACTTTTTCTCAAACATACTTGGTATTTGCAGATGATGTACTGTGGCTACTCCTACTATATAATACTCAATTTCCACATATTATATGTATACAAACAAACTTAACTTTCCCACCCACAAGCACCACTTGAAAATCACCCAGACACACACACTAAAAAAGTCTTTTGCAGTATACTGGCAAGTTCCCTAAAAGGTCAAAGATTTCCAGTGTAACTTACAATGAAATACAATGAAATACAATGAAATCTTCTTGCATTCTCTTAAAAAGTGCTTTCCTATCTATAATACGTTTGGCCTTTGCTTCATATTAATTAGTGCTTTCACTTTCCACTTCTCCTTTCAAAGACCTAAGACCTGTTCTGCTGGATCTTGTGCCGCTGGGAGACATAGTATTTACAAATCCTCCTGACTGACATTCCCTGGTGTGTCTTCTCCTTTTGGAAAAGGATGGCAAAGAATACCCTACAGGTAGGCAATCTTAGAACAAAATACAGGAAAACTAAGGAAAACAATAGTTGTTTATTGTGCCATATAATCAGTGATTAATTCGTTCTTCTGTGGCATAATATTTTTTCTTCACCATCCTTCACAGCCCTGAGGTCCCTCAGTTCCTTTGTTTTTTTTACCCATTCTGCCTCCTACTGTTAGACTGGGGATGCCTACAGTCAGGGAGGGAAGAGGATGACAGATGTGGCCTCTATGGACATATTTTTGTCCCTGTTATGAGAGAAGCATTTGCATGTGCCCCATCACTGCTTATCTGTAGCAATTCCAGGGAAAGGTCTGACCATAAGACAACGTATTTCACACTTTCAACAACAGACTAAAGGCCCCAAACAAATTTTTCACATTCTTTAGGGAAGGTTAAGGTCCTTCTCTGCAGAAGGGCTTACAGAGTGACAGCAATGCTGCTCCTCCCAGCATTCCAGACTGCCATGCATATCAACAACAACATATTCACCTGAAGCGATGTTAATAATTTCCTTAACAATTGCATCCTGAGCCTCTTCGTACTCTTCTCTGTTCTTTATGTAATCCTCATTGATGGCACTCAGCTTGCTGTGAACAAAATGGCAACATTTAGAGGTTGTCATGTCCTCTGCTCTGTGGCCACCTCCCAGTAAACTCACTTCTCTAATGGTAACTGCAGTAACTGCTACACCTGAAGTCACAGTTTCATTGTCTGTCTGAGACAGACCATGTGTTAATTGCTGCTGTTTTAACCACTCCATACAGGAAGCAGATATAGACAAACTTGTCTCCAGTCTGAAATCCACCTGGTGGTTGATTAGTAGCAGCATTTTTGGGGGTTGACACTATTTTTGCCTCGATTTACACCCTGGATGACGGAACTGAACGCACTTTCAAATGCATTCTCAGCAGTGCTGTGAGAACCACGTTAAGATCAGCTGCCGCTACACTGTGGGACAGGGCTGCTTTTCCTTGGGTTAGACCAGAGAAGAAGGTGGACAAGAATTTCAAAACACAAGCAAATACAAAGTCCTGCATGTGGGATGAATAACTCCATGTCAGAGAACAGACCAAGTGTGGTCCAGATGCCTACAAAACAGCTTTACATAAAAGAGCTGGAGATACAGGGAAGGAAGCCTGCTTTTTCAATTTGGAAAGGAGAGGCATCAAATTCTTCTTGCAGGTGCAGAGAAAAAGAATGATACTAAGCACTCAAATCACAACGTAAATTCTCATTACATGTGATAAGGAGGCATTAAGCACTGAAGCTCATGTCCCTTCAGGCTATGGAAGATGCTTGAAGAACAGACAAATGGACACAACATTGAGCCACCTCATTTAACTGTGAGATTGCATCTAGCTTCAAAGGTGACTCTGTTCTAATAGAGGGAATGGACCAGCTAAACTCAAGAGATCCTCTTAAGTTTCGTAGCTTCATAGAATAGAATGACAGAACATCCTGAATTGAAGGGAACCACAGTGATCAGTGAGTCCAACCCTGGGCTCCACACAGCACCACCCAAACCCTATGACTGAGAGTGCTGTCCAAACTCTCCCTGAGCTTACAGAACCTCAGGCCACAAGTCCAATACTTAAGACCAACAGAGATTACAGCATAATTTGGAAAAGATAATTACCAACAAAACTGCTGCATGTCATATTTGGTGATAAACACAAATAGCTCTTCTCTTATTTCAGCTTGTAAAAGCGTCTGTATAAACACTCACACTGAATGCAATTACACGGGTAGGTGCAGCTAAAACAGATAAATTAGCCAAAGTCAGATGAACAAAAATAGCTAACAGTTGGCAAAGAAAATGAGGAATGCAGGCATGTGCTTTTAACAGACACTGCATGACTTCTCCTCAGTCTCACTCAATGTATCAATCTGCGAGCCAACCAAAAAGGTGAAAATTCAGCCACTCAAGATGTACAAGAAACTGCTTTGTGGAAAAGCTAGAGAGGAATAACTGCTTCTTTTGCAACAGGCTCAAAAGATTACCAGTATTACCTCATACCTGTTTGTGAATTTCACACCATTCTTCTGTGTATCAGTTATCTTGTACTTTGAATTGTTCCTAAGAACCTTTTCCTCCTTGCAAGTAATTCGAAAGTGGTGTCCAAACTGTGAATTTGACTCCAGTTTGATACTTTTACCAGCTTCCAAACCTTTTAGAGGAAAAGACAAAATAACAGATACTATTATCAAAATCCTTTTGGTTGTGCTGTTTCTGCTCAATAATCCCAGTTCACAGCCTCTCTAACATGCTCTTCAGTACACTTGTTCTGGTTCTGTACATACATGAGAAATACCTACACCTAGTAGAATTTTACTGTCTCCTTCCCTGCTCTTACCTTTGATATGCCCTCAAACTGCATATGGAAACGAGGTGCACCATTACTGTACTGCTACATACTCCCCAGAAAAATGAAAACCATTCACAGCATGCTGCAAGGACATTCTGCTTGCTGTTGTAAACACAGCGTGTACAGCCTTGTGATTCTTTTATTAACACATACTATTGCTGGTGGGATTTCTCATCCTTACACAGCCTTGCCTTTCCTTCTTTATATCTAGGTATCATGTTTAAATACATAAATTAAGCCCAGAAAACCCTGGGCTTAATTAAGAATGAGATGAGCTGCACGCAGTATACTGCAACATCAAAATATTCCGTAATACTACCCTAAACAAAAGCCAAGTCATAGCCCTGCAATATCTCAGTTGCCATTAGACAACACTGTAACAATTAAAGTCACTCCAAACTAAGGAAAATGATAAATAGAACAACAGAAACATCCCCCACCTAGTTACTCTAAGCCAGTTTTCATCACTTGGTCTCAAAATAATTAAATAAGGAGGTAAGAAATAAAGGTACTTCCATCCCCTACCAAGCTCTTTGGCTGCACTCTTTAATAAGGTCTGCATGTTTTCTTCCAGCTCATTCATCTTCTCTCGCAATTCTGTCAGGTTGGGATCAAAAGAAGCCTTTACAAGGAACTCATGATTCTCCACCTAGGGGGAAAAACGAAAAAACAATTTGTTCAAGTGAGGTGGCAATAAAAGGAATAATCTCCTTCACTGCCTACCTCCTCTGTGCATTTCACTCAGCCTGCTATTTTGGTTGTGGTTTTGCTGCGTGCCAACATACTGCAGTGATGTTCTCCAGCTGCTTAACCAGATATGTGGCCTCCACACATTTATGTGATTTTAGAGATCCCTCTGAATCCTGCAGACGTTGTGAAAGCAGCATAAACAAATTCATTCCCTGTTATGGCCCTGTTGATAGATCTGTTACTCCTATTGCCTTCATATCTCTGCAAAAAGAACAGCTATGAATATTTATGACAGAACGTACAGCAGAACATTCCTGCTTTTATAGGGCAGATCCTGGTTCTGAAACAGAAAGGATAAGCTGAAAATGCCAAGAATGCCAAGCCTTGTCATGACAGGTCAGACTAATAACCCAGAACTGATGACAGTCTGATACCTGGATATGTTCATTATGTGAAATAAGTAAATCTCGGTTCCAAGTGCTTCTCCATTTAATGAGGTGACAGTAAATGATTTGCAGACTCCGGTGCTATGTTGAGCTAGCTAATTAATTTGAAAAGCAAGTCCTTCTGTGAAAGGCCGTGCTCTTAGAGCTAAAATCAAAATGCTGCCTAACGAAAGCAGTAACAAATTCTGAAGTTGTCCCAACTTGAGGTGAAGGTTGGAGCAGATCATTTTTCACAGCCCCTCATGGATCTAAGAAATACAGGAATGGAAGTGACTGTTCCTCAACTTTGTATTTTTTTAAACAGCTAGGTAAATGAATAACCACATCCCACACTTTCTGAACTCCGATGTTTCTTTTTATATTAGAATGCTTACCCTGAATAGATTCCTGGCATAATGTAGTTGCTATGACAACCTGTCCTTCAATCACACTCAGAACAGAGCTCAGCGTTTTGTATGAATACCCAAACATCTAAGAGAAACTGAAAGCCAAACGTTCAAGTTTGAAGATTCCTACGCAGAAGGTTCCCTCTTCACAAAACCAATGTTGGTTTACCTGTAGCCATTTCAATTGATCCCAGTATCTCGAAGGAAAAACAACCACAAATTCAACAACAGGTCCTAGGGGCCTTGGTTAAAAATAACTGACTCTCTAACCTATGTAGAAGAACGACAAAATATTATTTAAGCTAAAGTTGAAAAGAAATGTGAAGAGCTGGGTGAATGCTGAAACAACTGCTTGTTTTAAAGAATACAGAGTTCCATCAACAGATGGTCTGTAACTGGTAGATAGCTATAAATGTCTGCATTAGCATACATGATCAATTACAGCCACGCGTCAGTCGAGCAGCCTTAAAGAGTGTAAAACACAGGTGATGAACACAGCACAAAGAAAGAAAAGAGTGTTCTTTCGTTTGAAAAAAATGCACGTTCAAAATTTTTTAAGGTCGGTGTAGTTTTCCAAAGTGCAACAAACTGCTGTTCCGACCCTTGGCACGCCGTCAGGTAGAGCTCATCTCTCTGCAGTCAGCACACATTGACATTTATGACAATCCTAAAAGCCCCCCAGTTTTCCAAAATGACTGAAGCATCTCGTCAGCAACAAACATGAAGCAGGTGTCTGAGCAAGCAGATGAAATAGCAACACTAGAAAAATGAGTGTGTTTTGAGTGCATCCTCCAATTCTCCAACAAAGATGATAAACTGCACCAAAAACTTTGGCACTGTTTCACTTTCAGTAACCAGACTGCCAAAAACAAGAAGTGTTCAGTTCTATACAACAACAAACCATTCATCTGTACCTATCCCTTCTTTCTGGTACAGATTAATGCTCCTTTCTTTGGCCAGTTTTCCTCTGGAACAGAAACCAGTTTTGCTTGCAGAATGAGTCCTGTCTGCAGTAATGTTTTATAAGTGCAGATGAGAGGCTAAATTAATTTCAGTGGCTTTTTCTCTATCAAGAAACTTCTTTACACTGCAAAGTAAACTTCATCTT